TTAACACGAGGATTGATGCGCCTGTTTTTTTTTTTTTTTTTTTTTTTTTTTTTTTTGTTTTTTTTTTTTTTGGGGGGGGGGGGGGGGGGGGGGGGGGGGGGGGGGGGTTATCAAGTTGAAATAAGCTAAGGGGCTGAAATTTAACGGACATAATCCTGAGCATTGTATTGGCCAACAAATGAACATGTCACTGCGTTTGAGTGACCGCAGCGAGCGTTGGCTTGAGCTTCGCTGTCACGAAATTCCTAGTGTTTGAATAGAACTGTGGAGCTGCGGAGATCTGGATCAGATGTGTGCGTGGAAAATGTTTACAGACTGGAAGTTGACATGTAAACAAGATTTCGAAAAAGAAAGTTTGAATTCATACGTGCAGTGGTTTTGAATCGCATATTATTATGTGGATGAAATCACTAGTGGTAAAATTTAGGACCGGATGTATGCGCAGAAATTATGCGCGGTAGTTCTGGAAGCGCCTGGGGATTGGAATGAAATTTTGTCATTGAAGGGAGGATGAGCGTGTTAGCGATAATGGAGCTCCGGAAAGAAGGGAGGGCTCGCTTCAGTTTCTCGTGACCAATCTGATCCTACTATTTTATTTATCCCAGCTTCGCGTCCACTGTCATCTCATTGTACGGTTTGTAAACCGAATTCTTCGTATTCTTAGTAGTGAGCAACAGTTTCCCCATGAATTTTTTGCTACACTGAACTGGATTTGGAGTTTGCATTTTTGAGGCAGACTTTTTCGTTTCGTGTCTTAATTTTTCTCATTTTCTTTTCTGTCGTGGCCCATCCGAAGCGTCAGTAAGAACGAGTAATCGCATTTTTGTCATATTGAATTTAACGTATTCTATTAAAGTTTTTATGCCACAAGTTACTGACGAATTGTTTGTGAATTTGCTCTTCATGCCATCAAATTTGTCTGTGTCGACTTCTTTCAGATGTTGTAATTTGAAGTGCTTTTGTCTTAATCGGTTTTTGTGTCGGCATGATTTTCACTGGATCTGTTTCAGTACACTGGAGTGAAGAGATGGCTGAAGAAGGCGCTGCACTTACAATAAGCGAACAACTAAAACTCGCCAAAGATATGGGCTATTCGGATGAGGAAATCATGCAAGCGATTAGTATGAACTGCGCTAAAGACGGGGTATGCTTTTTGCTCATTCACTACTGTAGCCCGTAAAAGCAACGAGGAGATGAACACCGACTGTGCACCGGCCCCAGTGCTCAGTGAACTTTCAGCTTTCTAGGCATCTGGACCGAGCAGTTCAAGCACACGAGAAGGAGGCACGCACTTAGAAACTAGCCTTCCGCTCAGTACATCTTGATCTGTGCCATCGCATTCAGATTCAAATCTCTGTTGCAATTCTAGTATCGGACAAGCTTGTAGCTTCTACTTTATTGGATTTTAATTTGTCGTTCAAAACTAGGAATTGCTTGAAATCTTTCTTAAAGCATTCCTGTTCGCTGTACTATAATCTCTGCTCCGGAATGAAGTAGACCATGAACTAAAATTTTGGTACAAAGCTTCTGTCGAATGGATTAAAAAAATTTCCGTGGCGAAATACGTGCGTCGCAGCTGATCTCAAAAACGTGTGTTTCTCGCTGTTGTTTATCATTAGGCTGTCAACAGTGAGAAGGGAAAATCATTTTTCCGATTTGCTGCTGTCAAAAAAATTACTAGAAACAGTCGTCTCTGTCGGACTGTCAGAAGTTCCGCGAAAAATTCCTGGCTGTGTCATCTATGCTCATCAAGTTCCATTCTACTCCAAATACTCTTTTGTCCTCTGCAACAAATGTTAGGAATCATAAGCACGTAGGCGAGAGCAGGAAGACTGGGTATACTATTGTCCGAACTATAACTGCATATTAGCGCTATCGAGTGCTGTGCTACCGAACCCCGGCGGTCCTGCTGACCTTGGTTGGTATGTTGCTGCCGGCTGTTTTGCAGCAACTTGGGTGTTCCTTTTTCTCATTTGCTGGCGATTCTCCCCGCTTTGCTAATCTGGCTGAATTTTGCAGCAATTTGACCAGTTTTTATGTTTGCCCTGGTTTGATTGGGTTGCTCAGCTCACTTTTGGGTTACATGGCTCTGAAAATGAGTTGCGCTTGGGTCCGTTGTCTTATTTGGTTTCCTTTTATTTCACAGATTTTTTACAGTCATATCGGGCATTTTCATCTACGAACGCAATGATTGACATGTTGGAACGAGTGCAACGAATGTGTGAAACATCCGGTTCTGGATCGGGAACGGCCAGGAAATACGATAGCAGCGGTAGTGATGCAGATTTGGATCGAAGGTTCTTGTCCAATTGCTGCTTCCGCTTTGCCTCTAGCAATCGCTGCTCACAAGCACTGCCATATGAGTTAGTTTGCAACAATACGAAAAAGTGTGCAAGTTTGCTTTTCGCTGGCGTATATCTAAACTTTCTCATATTCGAAGGGCCATAGCCAGCATCGTAGGAATGTGGAAAATTAGCAAGGGAATGTGCCCGAATCCGTACTATCAGTTGTTTGTCGAAAACACAGCGCTGGCGCAGCTTGTGAAAGAGAGGAGTATAAGCTTCATCATGTGTGTTTTACTTCCACGTAGTTGCGAGAAACACATAAAAATCATGGCCAGAATTCGTTCATAAAGCCTGCATTTGTAGTTTGATTTACACGATCTGTTTCGTATCCGTTTGACTTTTTGTTTTCATAGTTCCTCGTTTCATGTGAATGGTAACACTAGCCAAATGAATCGATGAAATCTTCGCGCAAAAAGCTGAGAGCGTCGTTCTGCAATGTAATTAGTATTTATTGCTTTCAGATTATTAGGCCCCATTTCTGCAATTCTTACCAAAATATTCTATTAAAATGCGTCAGCGTAGGTCACACTGTTCGCTTTACTGGCAGCCATACCTATTATTAAGAATGAAATGTTGAAAGAAAACGACTGTTCGGATTATCCCAAAGAATTTATAGTGTTAGCGGAACGAAACAATCGTTCATCAGATGGCTTTCTGGAAATGAAATATATCTCTAATGCCGTCATTTTCTGCATATTTTTTGTAGCATGCATGTACAAAAAAGACAAAAGGCGCATGATAAAAATCCGTATATTTTTTTTTAGATAATTCATTGCAGGGATCACATGAGCCGTAAAGCTGAAATTTATCAATATAGCACTATATCATATGAGACCACAGATAAAGTGGACTTCGCACCTAAACTATAACCTCTCGTCTGCATTCAAGGCGGCTTTAAAATTCCAGTACTAAAGGAGCTGTTAGTCAGAGACCGAATTTCGGAATTACAATTTGCCGGAAAAATTATCCAAAACCAACACTGGAACCTGTGAAATGTGATGCAAATTCAGTTTGACGTTACAGCTTAGAAACAGAGCGAACCATCAACCTGGTTTTTGTGCGCTAGTTTATCGCATGGCAGAAAGGCTTTACTACAGCCCGCTTCAATGTACTGCACGAAAAAAAATCAATCTAGTCCGGTCATTGTATGTTCGTACAAGCTTCTAGTAAAAAAGCATGGTTGCACCGGCTTTCTAGTATATGCAGCTGTTTAAAAAATTGAGTACTGACAAATGGTCGCCTTAGAACCTTGGTCCGAGAATTTATATTGAAATGAATGTATATTTTGCAGTAGCTATGCGCGTTACTCGCCACCCCATACACCAGGCGGCGGTTCAGGTTCGTGTATACGTCGGGCAATATCATTTCATAGTGCATCATCGCCAGCTCGTAAGTCGTCAGGTATCAATTTTCACGAATGTTATTTGTACTGATGTATTTGCGAGTTTGTTACTTTAGCTAATAGCTTAGTAGTGAAAGCCATCGTCTTTGTACCGGTGATGTCGCGAAATTCCATCGAAAAGCCTACTATTGTTAAAGGGTGCTCTGCACAGGATGCAGCATCCAGATGATACAGATTATGTGTGAAGATGTCATGCTTACAGATTATAGGTGCCCCATGCGCGAAATACAAAGACCTGTAGTGCAGTAATCCAGCACATCGTGTTCAGATATGAAGTGGAGTAGTTCGATTTCCTTCTGATCGGTATTCGTTTGCCTCCGTCCAAGAGGGGCGGCGTTCATCGTGGTTTTGTGATGAGACATATATTACAGAGGGAAGGATCGAGACATGCCGGTTTATGTGCCAGTATCAATTCTAAGTCCATACAAATCACCGAATCATAGAGCACTTGTTTTCTTAGTGGCGAAACCAATTCGTCCATCGTATAAGAGCAGTGCTACTCTCCGGTACAGCACGCCTGCTAATTACTGTTTATTATTTTCAAGAATTTTAACCAGAATGAGAAAAAATAACTTTTCTTCACCGTTTAGATGTAATGACATCTTCGTTTCACGAGTATCGTTCCGGTCAGCCACAATTTCAGTTACAGCGATTGCTTGATGCTTTTGAGAAAGAGCAAAAAAGTTTCAGCGACGAATCAACGCGGTCGATTCGTGCTCTTGAGGTACCACTTTTAGTATTTTCATGTTCCTGAGGTGGCCCTCTTCGAGCACAGTACAGTTTTTCATTTTTTTCGCTACTTTGTCTTTCATGCATAAAAGAAATAGATTGTTGGAGCTGATGGATAAATGATAAATGGGCCTGGAGATCTGCAGGTGAAGAATATCGAAGTTTAGACGCTGATGATTGGTAAGGACGTGGTGTAGACAGAGCCCATGGGGTAAGGGCAACTAATCCAGGACAGAGGGAACAGGCATTGCTTATTAGTAATGTCTAGAGCCCCCACATCAGTGATCTGAAGAATTCATTAAATACATTTATTCAGTTGTATTTACAGGAAAGATGTAGGCAATTTTCGGACAATCAGGCGATCTTCCAAGTACGACTTCTTGAAAAGGATTCCGAAATACAACTATTAAAAGCGCAGCTTAGTACACGCGCTGCCCTCGATGAACAGCTTCGACTGTCGAAAACAAAGCTCGATGCCGAAGTAAAAATTGTCATTCTCTAGCTTCTTTTTTCAAATTTTTTAAAAATTTTGAAATAAAACAGGCAGATTCATCTACATTTAACAAAGATGTTCTGCGAATGTCTAGAAATCCTGCTTGACGTGTTTTTCGTGTGCCAAAAACATCGAGGCCGCTCAGGGTGTCAGTGTTAGTGATGCTACTGGAATGCTTCCACACGCGCGAGTTTTGCCAGGCCATTTGATCATGAGCTGCATACCTTCAGTTAGTCCCCAGCACCTGTTCGATATATGTTCTCTATTCCCTCTCTATCCACTTCCAAGCAGAATTAAAGCGCACTTGAGAATAGAATATGCCAGCAAAGTTTCAACCTCGCATCTTCTCCGGTAAGCGAAATATCCACTTCGCTACAAATATCTTTGAAGTGCCCTAAGTCGCGGCGTGAGTGCAAATCGGCACTCATTTTAGGTATAAATTTCCACATGGGCGACAAGCATGCTGACAAAATTTCAGCCACTCTTTTCAGCAAGTTTTCGAGTTAGCACAGTATCAATCTGCAAAGTTTAACATGATCGTACGCGCTGCACAAGCGTGCACGACAGCTGAATTTGAAATCTTTAGCTCGCACATGCACAGAGAATATCCTGCATCCTGCATAGTTTTAGCTTTGTACGTTGCCTGGTTCAAGAAATCGTTTCTCGCCAAAGAAATATGCATATTTTTTTCAGGAGTCCATACGCGAGATCTAGGCGCTTATGAGCGAAAAAAAAATTTCAAACGGAAGGATGACACACGGAGTGGGAACATATATCCAAAATTTCAGCCTCCCAGCTTTCCCGGTTGCTGAGATGAAAATGAATGACAGAGTTCACTCACTTCTTAACACAGACACAAATGACCTCTCGACAATATGCGTTTTTGCTGGCTGTAGCAACGCTATAGCACTGCTGTTGCGCTGCACAGCAAAAACGCATAAAAACAGTTGGAGAAAAGGGGAAAAGTCTTACCGTTGGGGAGAAAAAAAAAGCATTTGGGGAAGAAAACCCGCGTTCTCAACTTTCCTTTAGCTAAAAGTGCTTACCGGAAAAAACAATGCCGTTAACGACAGGAAACGTGCGGGAAAACTGCGAAAGATGCATCTTCTCACCTGCAGTCGGTACACTGTCGAATTATTAGGTGTTTTGATATGGGGGTAAAGGCGATCGCCACTAATAAAACTGAAGGGCCTTGTAAGTGGAAGTGGGAATAAACCATTCTGATGAAGGGGAGGAAATCAAGAAACACCACTAAACTGACCGTTTTGGCTGGAAGCGAAATGGATAAGTTGCCAGCTGTATCACTGGGGTGTTAAAGCATACCACAGTAAAGCGACTGTTGATCGGAATATGAACTTTTACAAGACAGTTGTTTAGCTACAAGCATGGGGGAGGGCGATTCCCCTCCCCACTCCTGCCATTCCCTCCCGGTCGCCGCTATATCAAACGTCCCGCTGCCCCGTGCCCCTCGCTGGTCGACCCTAAACTGCGGTGACAATTAGGAGCAGGGGAGGGGGGGGGGGTGGAGGTGGAAGAAAGTGGAGCTCCTGCGAGGACGGAAAGGGGAGGAGGGAGACGACAGAGGGTATCGAAGAGAGTT